ATTGGATAGCTTGTGTATGCTAAATTGGTGTCGTCTCTCGTAATGAAGCTCCCGGACACAAAATATTCAACCAACGAGAGAGTGAAGCGAGAGAAAGAGAGAAAAAAGAATGTGAAGACAATGGAATCGTTACACATTGTTATTTTTGTGTTTCACATTTTCCGTGCGTCTTCATGCTGCACACACTTTTACCGAGCCGAACGAAGTCTATGCAAAAAGCACTGGCAAAAGGTTTGCATGTGACGCGCGTTGGGCTCCCCATATTTTCCTTATCTATACAAAACCAATTTTTCAATTATAATGTTGCTGATTTCGGGAAAAATAATTTCAAGCGTTGAACACGGTCAGACTATGGACATTATATAGACACACATTGCGCCTTAGATGGGATGCTCCCGAAAATTGCACACCTCCGACATTCAAAAATTGTCATTTTCCACCGACACACATACACAAATACATATAGACACGGGGATATTTTTCGTTGTACATCACATTGCGAACGCATGAAAAACGAACATTTAATAGTATGTAATCATATTGGATTTGCTATTGTTCTGTTCTGTTCTATTCATCGGTACATAACATGAGATAGAGAACGAAACTTTATCTCTCAAACATACACTCGCCTATCTCGGCTCAAAAATTTAGTGATTCCGCTTGCTTAGTTCCGTGTCATCATTTCAAATTGATTCGCAAGACGGTGCACATAAATTCTCGCACACTCAAAAGTGTGTGGATAAATTGTGCGAAAATGTCGAATGTCTATACGTGCGCGTTTGCAGTGAGCCTCGTCTCTCATTCATCGCATTCAATGTGTCGTATTTTCATCTTATTAAAATGTAATATTTATTTATGTTTTTGGAGTGTATTTGCGTTGAGTGTGTGTGTGTGTGTGTGTGTGTGCGCGCGCGCGCTCACCCGCCCGCTTCAAAACGATAAAACCGGGCGGCATTTGTGATGATGCTGCTGACTCAATGGTTTTGCATACTTTACAGCATACTTAACTCCTTGCGACGCAAACAAGCAAAATAATTACCCTTTTTTTCCTTCATCTTATCATGCATATACATCTCGGAGAATGCGGGCGGGCGGCTTAAACACATGGATTTCAACTTTCTCTTAGTCGTGCTCATTCAATGTAAATCGTTTTTGAAAATACTTCTTCTCGTTGCCGCCGCCGTCGACGTGGTTGTTCCATTTCATTTTTCGTTTTTCAATTTGTTGCAAGTGTCGTGCACATGTTTGTGCGCCTGTGTGTCTACACTCCGCTCGAAAAGTAAACACTTTTGCATTCTTCCGCCCGTCAGACTTGCCAAGGTTATCGTTCTGCAGAAAAACACTTTGCTTTGCCCAGAGTGAATTTAATTGGTGAACTTGCTCAAAAATGGCAGAATTTTGGCATGAACAACCGTTTCTTAATCAATCAATATTCATAATGCAATAAAATCCATCCGCACACTTCGATACACACAACCGACAGAAAAATTTGCTGCTCCCGAAAAACATCATTTAATTTAATTGATTTGCAGTCATATTACATTCGGGTGAAACTTTATTTTTTGCGTGCAACACACAAAAGTTATTCTTCGGCTAAAAGTTTCTATGTTGTTGTTCCATATTCGCAGGCAGATGTGAATTCGGGATTCGTGGAGGCAATGGTCGAGCCAAAAATGAATTATCGCAAGCTAATTAAAAACTTGATGGAAAATCGTGTTTGCTCTATCTCAAAGATGGATTTATGCTAGCACAAGACGTTACAAACGCTCGTTCTTGGTTTTTGTCGACTGGTTGATGTGGCGAAGGGATGGCAGAGAGGGCAGACGACCGAGAGAGAGAGAGACCAATTTGCTTGACTGCCTCTTGCATCTCATGCCCAGTGTAATATATCATGATTTAAATCGGCATTTTCGGTTTGCTTCCGCAAATAGTTCTGATTTTGGCCATGTAATTAAATTAAATGTTGTTGCAAGCACGAAATCTCCATTCGATATACGATTTTGCTACATTTCAAGAGTTTTTGTTGTAAGCTCGGTGTGTTGGAAAAAGCCGAGAGCACAACGGAAAGAGAGATTGGAATGTGGCATGCGTTTTGTGATGCGAACTACGAAAATTCGCCCATAAATTTTGTGATAAATTCAAATATGGAAGTAATCATGAATTTTTCGTCGCAAACTTCATTTAAACAAAATCTTTCAACTGAATTTTCAACCACAGAGGGAAAGAGGGGACGAGGATAGAAATGACGTAGAGAGCGAGAGAGATGAAAGTAGACGATCAACAAATCACAAAATCCATTTAAAAGATACAGAGAAGTGGTGCAAAAAGTGAAATGGAATCATGAAACTGTCAACATCATTCACATGGGAAGCACTCGGCTGGATATTTTCGGTGTGTTTGCTATTATAAGCTGCTGAGCGTATTTTAAGTGTTGTTCTTTGTTCGGACGGTTGTTCAGGAATGATGATAGTCGAAGAATTAAGTACTCATGCAATTGCCGGCGCATTGGATTGGCTATGAAAATCCAGACAAGCAATGAAATAATACATTTCGAAATGGTTGATGTGTCTTGACATGTATTTCCCTAGTGAACGGTTGCAATTCCGACGACTTCACATTTCAGTAGGCATCAAAGCACGCGTTTTTTGTTTGTTTTAGACTGAGACTCTCGGTGAATGTGTGCGTGTGTGAGGAAGAGAGAGTGAGAGAAATGGAAAGCAATGACCGAACACATTGTGCTCCATGGAATTGACGGGTCGACACAATCAACGTGAGTGTTGTGCGTTATTTTCCGAGGTTCCAGGTCTCGCGCAAATCGATCGATGCAAATCGAGCAGCGTGCCACGTTGCACGCACTCGACCAAGAGAGAGAGAGAGAAAGTAATTGTAGTGGCAGTAACATTAGAGGGGCCGCACCAGTTTTAGATGATTTAATCGCTTGCAATCGTTTTAATACCTTGAGCGCTGACAGCTAAAAAATTGCGCCGGCTTAAATGCTGTAAATATCAACGATTTATTAGGGCAACGAATTTTTTTTTTGTTTCGTTTCATTCGTGTGCCTCCACATTATTATCATTTCTGCATTGCCGCTAAGTTTTTTTTTCCTCTCCTCTTTCGGCTCGTCGACAATTGACACGCGATGCGATTAAAGCGCTTTAGTGCGCTCCAAAAGTATCATTATAAATGATAATATATGACAATTATGTTTTATGCAAATGAAATGAGGATTTTGTTGTGGATAAAATCTGAATCTATGTGTACTATATGTCTTTATTTGCCAAAAATTCCAATTATGCTCTTAAGAGTTTCGTCGAAGAATTAAGCTTGAACGAAGTGAATGTGTATGACTCGAGCGAAGAGAGTGTACAAGTTATTAGAATGAATCGACAGCGATCGCAATGGTGTATCCGGATTGAGGTACCGGCAAAACATAATCGAAACACATACACAACAGCAGCAGCAGCAACAAAAACAATGGCTCACGTTGGACCAATTCGTTGCAAAACTAAACGATAAACACAAAACAACCGAATAAAATCGTAGTTTGTAAAGTAATTTTGAATCATCAGCGAATCCGTCGCAAAACTTTTCTGATCCCGATGCACACATCCCGTAGAAAACACATGAAAATGGCACACGAGCAAATCTATACACGTATGCCAGTTGTTTCGTGTGCATGTGCACAAAACAAAACCGAAACAAAAAAAAACATGTGCGATCATTTTTTCCCAAAGCGAAAACACCATTGAATTGGCGGTTTTGTGAAAATGGATTGAACAAGTTGTATGCAGTTTGCCGTTTGCTCGTTGCACATGTGTGGTTCAATTGAGAGAGAGAGAGAGAGAGAGAGAGAGAGAGAGAGAGAGAGAGTTTGATAAGGATTTTCATTTGACTTTAAATGCCTTCAGCGCGTCGCGCATTTCAACGTGAAGATATTGCTCTTAATTTTGGAATTGTGTTCGCCCTTCGGACGAACCACCACTCTCTGTTCACGTTCATATCGTAAAAGAATTCAAGATAACAAGAAGATGCATAGAAAAAGAAGAGGAGAAAAGGAAGCGACGAGAAAAAGAGAAGCACTGACACGGATAAATGGAATAGGAACGAAAAGAAAAGAAAAAAAAAACCTAAAGCGAAAAGAATGTATATTGAATGTGTGTACACGTACCATTTCTTTCCTTTTCAGCTGCAGGACTAACAGTGGAGAAAGAAAGAACTTTGGCAAACAACATCGTGAACACATCACAAGTGCACTCTTAGTGAAGCCAAAGCTAATAGCGAAAATGAATAGAAAGTGTGAAGCGCGCACGCACGCACACAAACGAAATGCCAAATGCATAAGACTCAAAATGAAATTAAATTTTGGATCGACAGATGCCAGATGTGGAATCGGATATATCAACAGAAAAAAAAAGCGTTACAATGAATCGAAAAGAAGTTTAGCAATCGAATAAAAAGCAATAGACAATGTTACATCATTAAACTTTTCGCCTTTTGTTCGACATACCAAAGCGTTCGTATGGAGGGAGCGCCGAATGGCTTCATTTTTCAATCGATATCGACAAGTGAACGCGCATTCTACAAATGTCAACAATCGCATTTCAGTGGATATTGTGGCCACATTTCGAAATACATCTACAGCAATTCCAATTTTCGATGATGCACACACTAAACTGTGTAAACTCTCTTGACTACACGAAAAAAAAGTCAATCCAACGAATTGAGTAGTTGACACGCAAAATACGGAGGACAGAAAAAAAAAAACGAAACAAAAATACAAACAAACATGAGAGCCACACATTTGGAAATAATGTCACTCAATCATTGTCTGGACTGGTGGTGGCCGTGTAACCGAACCGTGTATTGAACACATCAAAAACACTGTGCCCCGGTCATTACACAGTTTTTATTTTTATTTTTATCGATACACAATTCCAATTGATTGTGTTGGCTATTTTTACTTCCAATAATATATTAAAATACACTTGATGATCGCTTACCGTGCGGATTGGGGTATATATCAAATATACACACAACGACGAGGACGACGAGGACGACTATTATTGGTTCAATCAATGCTCACTCAGACGACGATGATGATGACGATGACGACGACCGTATCAAATCCGTTCGGCAAATTTCCGGTTGAATAGCCTTAATTTTTCGCCCAATGTTACGTATGCTCTTGTATATGTTACGATTTTACGATGCGGTGAGACTTGATGTGCGTTTGGTGTGTTGTTTTTTTTTAAAATATTTTTTCGTATTATTATCGCGTCAAGTATCGCCTATCCAAGCAACAGTAGCTCTCAAATTACTTTTACGCTTTGTTGTTTTTGATGTGATATGTGTTGTCTGGTCATTTGATTCGCGTGTTCAGTGGCTGCCAGTGTAATTTTTTTCCAGTGATGTGTGTCTTTTTGCCGCTTTTTATGTTGTTTTCTCAAGCTTATCGATGAAATTTCACCGATTTGTGGTTTTGAGATTTTCTTTCAAAATCCAAACGAAGAAAACCAATACCGTAGCGATGTCGAATGATGTTCAATGAAAAACTCAACACGTCTTATATTTCAGATTACTTAATACGGCTAATCATTGATGGTTTTCAGGCGTATAAATTATGAAACTCCTTCCAAATCGCAATTTCGATGCTGAACGTATTTTGATTTTGACCGCAGTTTGAACACTCCTGATGATGGATGATGTTGATTGAAATAGACTCACAAGAATAACAACGCTTTTCACTCGTAACACAACACACTTGGAGTGATTGGTGAAATGACAACGATAACAGAACCGAAAACTAAACGCAAAATAACAACAACAAGAACAACAAACACCGTCACCGTATTCGATATGAAATGCCAATGCACCGTAGACAGCAAGCAGAGCTCGTATCGCTCAATACAAACATGTAGCCGATAGAATTTTTGGTTGCTCTGACAACCACCAATTTCGGAAATTTGCTTGATATTTTACTTTAACTTCACACGTTATTATTTTCTATCGTGAATGATATGGAAACTTGGCATAGCACTAACTAATTATTGGCACGGATTTTAATAGATAAAACGAGAGAAAAAAAATGGTTCTCAAATTGAAACTATTTATTTTATGATTGGATAAATAATAATAAATCGAAATATGATGTGATAAGCAGCGATATACACAATATTTCAGCGATTCTGTACTATTGAGACTGATGCTTCGCACATTATACACATAAAATTGTACACACTTGATATCAATTTCAACGGCGCGAGGCATATCGAACACCAATACCAATGTACATTTCTTTGCACATGCACACACCGAACTCCCCGTGCATGGAACATGCTGCCGTTGTTGTTTCTACGGCTGTGTGTGTGTGTACGAGAACCCAAAAGAGCTGATACATTCAGTACAGAGTGTGTACACGATTCCGATAAACACATAGCCGGAGAGCATGCGCATGGCGTGAAACAGGACATTATCCGTGCATATTTCAATTTCCTTCGTTTTTCCATGCCTATGTGCGCTTGTGTTTGTGTCTGAAGAATCGCGACAAGGCACAATTGACTGTGTAGTTGTGCATCTGCCAGTTGCAAGTGAATTTCATTCCGAACTACGGAATCTCGCTGTGTGTGTGTGTATGTGCTGTTGAAATATCTCAACTGTTGAGACCGATGAAATGCCGTTTTTTTTATTATTGTTGCCAAACACTATTACTCAATTATTTATGGTGGAATTGTAGTATTTTGCATGTGCGATGCTCTCGTATCGGCTTTATTTCGAATGGTAATAAGAGAAAATCTCTGTGTACACGGCTCAAATGGTAATTCAATTGAAAATTGAAAGGAGCCATACCTTCTTAGCATAAATTGGCTTTTGGGAAAATAAACTTAACACTTGAATTGCAGTGTGAAACGAAAGGAAGCGGTTGTGGTAAGTTGCCTAGTAACGGTCAGTCAAAGACACGCATACTCATATATATATATATATACGCTTTTATGCAATTAGTTAACGAATGGGCCCAACATGATTGAATTCACCGCTTTAGCGTCCCCAATGAAATCTCTCTCCAGGATTTTTTTTGCTGCTGTTGTTGTTGTTGTTCGCACAAAGCTTGGCCATGTTCACTTTTTATGCTGTTGAATTTTTTAAAACAATCATAAATGCGATAATGTTATCTGTGTCTGGCGAAAGAGTGGCAGAGAGAGAGAGAGAGAGAGAGTTCAGTTGGCACCGGCCGATCTGTTCAAAAGCATGTACACGCATCAACCGAACGAAAGCAGTAGACAAAAAAAAATTATACAACATGCTCGAATAGAGGTATACATTAGTCAGAGTGCAAAGTCAACGGTGAATAATTTGAATGCTTCGACTAAACCAGACAGCCAACTTGTGTACAATGTGCATGGTACATGAACAAATATCAGGTCTCGTTCATCGTTTAGACACCGAACATTTGCATGCGCTTGCGTTTGCATTTATCTCTTGATATTCGTTTTTTTTTTCTCTCATTCCTGGATTCTGGTTCACTTCTCTTCATAACGATTTGCATGGTGCATATTTTAAAACACACAACCAACTATCTATTTATTATTGAAGTTGCTATTGTCGTCGTATTTTTGGGCTTTATGTGCCTGTGCCAGCTCTCACTCTCTTTCTCTCTGCCCCTATCTCCAGCTCCCTCGCTCATCAACACTGCCAATATTAAGTGTCTGACATTTAAATGGGATATATGACATGTGCCATGCACACACACATACCGTTCAGCCACTCTCTTTCCGAAAATCCGTTTTCAGTGCTTGAGTTTCTTAATCTTTTTTATTTGCATTGGCCACATGAAGCTCAAGTAAATCTATGCGAAATGGTTGCCATTGTTTTTGCATAATTTTCTACTAATGGTAAAATTATCGGCTTTTGTGCCGTATTTTGTTTGCCGCTTATTCACACATCGTACATGCACACCAAAAGGCCCCATTTCTCTTCGGTCTCAAAGGAAAACTTCCCATCAAGACTTAAGAGATTCACTTCTATCTGGTATAACAAGAAGAGAAAAGAGTCAAGCTGACCAGAAAACTCCCCTTTCTGCGGAAGAAAGCGATGTGCACTTCCGTGTGCAAAGCCGATGTGAAATCTTCAAAACTAAATTATTGAAATCGGGCACATTGAAAACGAAAACCAACACATTCAGCACATATTCGTTTGTTTCATTCAACATTTTGAAGCTCGATGATCGTCTCATATATGCAAATGTGCCACACTCCTAAATGCTTGACATAATAAAAATAAAAATAAAAATAAAACGAAAACACATATTTGTCGTGCAATGCAAACGGAAGACCAAACATACGCGCACACACACACACACACATAGAGGGATGGAGAAAGAGAGCGGAGATAAAACTGGAGTACGAGTAAAATGTGTTAGATCATCGTCGCCTGATGATGTTTGATTCTAAAATGAAACAAAGAAGAAGTAAAAGTAGAAGAAAAAAAAAGCGGCGAAACCAAATAGTAGCAGCAAAAGTAGCAGCAACAGCAGCATCCATCCAAAATACACACTTGGCATGTATTTACATTTTGTTTCCGTTCTATCTCATTCAACGCTGTCAACGATAATGTGCTGATGTGAACGGGAGCATCGAGAGTCGGAAAAGCGAAATTGAAAGCAATAAAGTAGTTTCTATTTTGTTTGGTCTTCGCGCGCATACATTGCATGTGTGTGTGTGTGTGTGTATGCCGTCGCAGGACCATTATTTTTGTACTCTATGCATTTGCATTTTCGGTGTTCTTCACTTTGTGCGAGTGTATTTATGTAACTGGTGAAAAACTTTTGTTGTTCCAAGTGCGTATGTGGAGGCGCGCTGATTTGCCCTTCATCCCTGAACAACAGCAACGAGCCAAAAATAATACCAAAATAAGAAAACTTCATCTGATGCAGGCACATACAAAACAAGATTTATACGATAAGGGAAAAAGATATGCAAATTTTTGACGAACAAAAAATTCGTCTCGTTACATTTGTGCCGGAAACTGTGAACGAAATGCTCCGATATGAAAGACAAGGAAAACGAACGAAAGCAAGGTGGTGTACGCACGAGAGGAGAGTGAGTGGGAAAAAAAATTGAATTGTCTTTTCGAAATCAAAGTTGTACAGTGTACACCGTCTACACATTACTATATTGAAAAATGAAAATTGAAAACAGTTGGTGCCGTTGGTGTTTCTGCTACTGCTGTAAAATTTCAAATGCAAAATTCATCCAAACTTCGGTTGCTGCTTCGTTTTCACACTTCATTCAGCCAACGAAAAAAATAAATAAGAACAATTCCATTAAATCTCGATCATTTTCCACGTTTTGTTGTTGTCATTTGTTAAATGATTTTTCTTCGTTTTTATTGTTACGTTCTTCCGAATTTTATTTTCCATTTCGGTTTTATTTCGGGCACGCTACTTTATTTATATATTCAATTGGGTTTTCTTTTCGTGTCATTTTATCTGCTTCGTTTTGACTGTTGAAATGTTCTAAAGTTTCAATAAAGTTGGCATCGTTGAGTATTGTGTTCCGGAATGACGGGATAAATGAGCGAAAATCGACGATGATCGCGATGATTCTTTATGTTTATCGTTTTCATTTCGTGGATATATAGCAAAGAGTAGAGTAGAGTAGTCTATGCTAATTCGTAAACGAAAATAACCTCAATGCAAGAACCCCTTTATCCTTTCCATTTTTTCGATTCGCTTCATTTCAATTTGATGGCGATGATGACATTTCAATTCAAATTGTAATCAACCAAGTCATGATGGTGTGCGCTCCATACACGCACACAACAAAGACAACAACGCAGATGATGTCTGATTACAGACAAAGCTTTAATGATGGTCCTAGTAATAATCATTGGTTGGTTGGCTGATGACGCACGCAATACGGGGAGAGAGAAAAAGAAGTAAAAAATTACCTAATATTGTTTGTTCAATGAACAAGTTATCAGAAAGCTTCAGGTTAAATAATGTTCACTGGTGATCATGAACGAACGTCAAGATTTGCATAAAATTTCCATATTTGATTAATTTCGATTTTCATTCCGTTTCCTTTTTACCATTTCCATTTTCTGGCTCTGTCTCTCCATTTCGATTTCAAACGAAGACGACGGTAACGGCGACGACGACAACGAGGACGACAGAGAGATGTGGTAATTTTTGCTGCTGGCATTTTTGCCATCGTGTGTATATTCCGTTTGTAATCAAATGCATTTCACCATTGGGTGCCGGCATTCTCTGTCACCATTCTATCTTTTTCACTCTCTTCTTGCCTTACACACACACTCATGACAGATCTAAAAATGTGCTCGTTTACGTCAACACCGCCACCAAAATTCAATCCGACGTCTGTTCCTCTTGTCTTGCTCCGATAGAATGTAGTGGGAGTGAGAGAAAGTGAGAGAGAGTGAAAAAATCCTATCTTCTGGTTATAATCTTTTCGCTTGAGCGCCAACAATTCGAGGGTAGAAACAAACGGTGAAATTGGTATTTGCCGGAGTTTCAATGTGTTATTTTCGTCTTTTTCTTCACCGAGTTTATCAAATGTACTTTCATCCCATGTGAACATCGAAATTTGTCTGTTTTTTTACCATCCTCCAAATGCAATGACAATTGAACGTGGAAAAGAAATAAAATCGGAAAAAAGGGGAATTTTCAAATGTTTGCCAATGGCAAAATGCTCACATGCATTTAGAATATTCGCATTGGTAAAATCAGTTTGTAATATACTATATTACATTGGTCGTCGATAGTTTATCAGTAGAGAAGAAAAAAAACGGTAGCCGAAACAAAAAAACCAAACAAGAAATGGGATAAAAAGGTGCAAACAAGAGTCGCCAACAAGAGAAAAAAAAACAAATAACACAAGTCGATTTGCACACATGATATATCACTGGAGCTATTCTGGAGACATACAATTTGCCGTTGAATCGGCGCTCCTTATGCGCATTGCCGCCACCGTCACACTTTGACCAAACCAATATGAAGAGTATAGTGTGTGAAGCGCGTCCTCGTGTGGCATAAAGCACAAAAATCGCATGTGTAAATATAAATTGATGACTCTCGTTCAATATTATCAATCGATAAATGTGTGCAGACAAACTCGGAATCGGAGGATGTGACGATGTCGACCGCATAAAATCGCCAAAATAGACAATAACACGAGGCCGGAGCA